TTGTATGTCAAGTTTAGTATCACCTCATGTCCTTATATTATAATTATAAAAGCCATCTTTTGTTATGAAGTAACCAGTATCACAAAAATGTAAACTACTATTAGCTGTTGCTCGCGACTTCGCCCGCGTGGAGTTAAAAAATATAGCCTATGTTACTCACAGATTACCTTTCTAACGGTGAAAGAATTTTTAAAATCGTCCCAGTAGTTTTTGAGTTATTTCAATACATACAAAAATACATATCTTTCCTCTTTATAATATTAGTATATATTGGCGGTTAATTTCAATACAATATATTATATTAACATGTAGTTTTGAAAACAAGCACTACCTAATTGGTTAATTGTAAGAGTTTGTCCGTTGCAAGGAATGTTATTTTTCTGAAAGTAGAATACTGCGGGTTTCCACGACTGTACTTATGGAACTTTGTAGATATAAACCATTTCGACATAATTTTTTTACAAAAGTAATTCCTCTTTGTAAAATTAAATTCACTTTTTTATGCATTATATTAAGGCCTGTCCCATCAAATTGTAAATTGTCTGATCGCAATCCAACTTGTAAATGGAATGTAAATATTGGATTTTGTTACTTTATCTGACAGTGACGTCATTTAGCTATCTGGCCCTATATCAGCCAGTGGTGGGACAGGCTCTTAATGTTTTTTTTTTTTATTTTATACATCAAATTCCTCTTACGAAAATCAATAATATAAATGCAACTGAAAATGTATACATTTTTATATGTTTTAAGTTTTTTTATAATTTTAGAAACCGGAAATCAATATGAAATACGGTACGAAGACAGAAGTACAACCGCGGAGACGGACCCTGAACGCTGCCCTTATGTGCATCTCAGTGCGGTAAATATTTATATACATACGAGCTGTTGCCCGTGACTTCGTCCGCTTGACCGTGGTATTAGATAACATACAAACTATATAAATTACAAAAAGCTACGTATCCCGGGAACCGGACATTTCTCTGGGATGAAGCTTATCTCATGTGTACTCCAGACTTTATTTTATATCTGTGCCAAATTTCATGGAGATCCGTTCAGCCGTTTAGGCTACAAACGCTAACAAACATCCATCCATCTAAACTTTCGCACTCTGTGGAATAAAAAAAAAATGAGTAAGTCTATGTGTTCTCCTATCCTCTACATCTATGCCAAATTTCATCAAAATCCGTTCAGTTTAGGCTACAAACTAACAAACATCCATCTAAACTTTCGCATTTATATTAGTTAAATATGCTTGTAAAATTTCCAGGTGCACGAATATGCATATCCCAATGTGACGAGTGAAATTACAACAGAAAGAGCGCCTTCCACCACTAACCCGCCATTGCTGCAAGGGGAATCAGGTAATATTAATTACTTAATTTTCTCCCTTAAATAAGACAAATCTAGCAAAATATATATCCTATATCACACAACGATAAATTATCTTTATAATGGTAAAAGAATTATTAAAATCGGTCCAATAGTTTTTAAGATAATTCGCTACATACAAATGATTTTTTTCTCTATTAGTAGGGAAAAATGTATTTTATGCACCAATTATAATGAAACAAACAGTAAATTTTAATTTAAACATATTAAAATACTATATTTAAAAGAGTGTTTAAATCAGATAATCCCTTTCTGATATTACTTAATACAAACACACAGACAAACATCCGAATATACGTTGTTTTAGTTAGATTAAACCGTTTTTTTTTCTTTATCTGTACTATTATAATAAAGCGTAAACACCCACTTCTTTGTGGCCTAAGATGTCAGCAATTACAGCATGTTTTCGAATAATTCTCTTTTTAATAAAAAGCCCTACACGTACGTCACGCTTTAAACTATATATTTTAACGCCATTAAACTTAGGAGGTAAATATTTTGGATAAAAACCCTAATGTGGGAAAGAGACCATAAGTTGCTGCCAACATCAAGAAAGCAATATTGCTAAGGTTTGTCATGTTATGTCATTTTGACATTTGCTATTGATAATTTGACACATGTTAACAATTAAATAAAATTTTCATAATTTCGTACGGATGAAGCCGCACGAGAACAGCTAGTTACAACATAAAAACACTGATCACAGCCTGTTATTGGGTGTTTTTATAATATTTTATATACTAATATTTCAGGGTCAATAAAGAAATGCAGCTACGGAGGTCCCCCGCCGCTGCCAGATAAGAAACCAACTGATACATTCCATGCGAGGCTAAAGTGCAGGTAAATTTTAACTATATATTTAAAAAAAATAAAAGTAGGTAGCCTATGTGTTCTTGCAGACTATCCTCTACATATATACCAAATTTCATTGAAATCTGTTCAGCAGTTTAGGCTACAAACTCTAACAAACCTCCATCCACCTAAACTTTCGCATTTATATAATACCATTTTTCGCCCGCGACTCCGTCCGCGTGGAATTATAAAAAAAACGAAAATGAATAGCCTATGTGTTCTTGCAGACTATCCTCTACATCTGTACCAATTTTTGTCGAAATCCGCTCAGCCGTTTAGGCTACAAAATCTTAACAAACATCCATCCATCCATCTGAATTTTCACATTTATATAAGATTACTGGATTACTGGATTTTATTGGATTGGATTGATTAGAAATTGGGAATAATGTGACTTGTATGATTATTTCAATCTAGCTTTTGCGACTCTGTCCGTGTGAAATTAAAAAAATGAGTCAGTAGTGTTTGTGTTTTGGACTATCCTCTAATCTATGACAAATTTTCGTTCTGTTCAGAATTCCGTTCATTATCGGCTACAAATTCTAACTTCCACTCCAATTTTATTATATGTATAGATCTATAAAAAAAGAAAACTCCAATCCTATTTTTATAAATGTTATAGGCACTGCCACGAATGGTATTTGGAGAGTGCGAACCGCGCAGGTGCTTGCGAATTCGCGCCCGACTGCTGCCGCACCTGCATCGACTGCGTCTCCTGCATCAAGTGCGCACAGGTAATTACCAGTCATTACCGGTCATGATCCGTCACTACCAGTCATGATCAGTCACCATCAGTCATTACCAGTCATTACTAGTCACTACAGATTGTTTTAATTGATACAAACAGCGCGGTAACCAATATTAACTTTATTACATTGGTCATTTAGTAAAATTCCGTAAATATATAATATTATGGTTATAAAATCTAATTACTACTCCATCTTGTCTCGTTGATAGTTGTTTTTTTACATATTTTCTCTATGACAAAAGGCAAAGTGTTTGCTGGTCAATATTTCTTTTTTGGAAGAATGCGAACTCCTTGTATGCCAAATAGATCATGATCGGTCACTACCAGTCACAACCGGTCATGATCAGTCACAATTGGTCATGATCGGTCACCACCAGTCACCGTTGGGTATCAATGTTGCAGTGCATGCTGTACCACTGCATGTCGGACGCGGAGGGCGAGTTCGCGATGCATCCCTGCGCCTGCAACAAGCCTGACGACGCGTGCGCCAAGAGGTATATACATATTTTTATATGTGAAGTAGCTGTTCCCGTAAAGAATTACTCAAAAATATTCTATAATTGCTGACATCTTAGGCAACAAAGAAGTGTGTGTTTACGCTTTATTGTAATAGTATAGAAGTATAGATTATATAATGAAATAACTCATTCCAGATGGATAGGCGTGGCACTGCTAAGTCTGTTAGTGCCGTGCCTATGTTGCTATCTGCCGCTGCGCTGCGCACACCGCGGGGCGCGCGCGCTGCGCCTCGCCGGCGGGCACCACGCGCCGCAGCGCAACTAGCAGGCACGCGCCCACGTGGGCGACGTCTTGTCTACGTGTGAAACAAGCTTCACCCACGTGGATAACGCGCCGTCTACGAGTGGGACGTCACGCTGTTAAGGCGCCTTCGCGCGCCCACGTGGGCGACGCCTCGCCTACGTGTGGGACGTCACGTTTCTACTGTACGACTACATACGCCCACGTGG